CTCTATTGGTATTTTAAGACATTTATTACATTCTTCATGTATAGGAGAATACTAATGTTCTTTTGGTCAAGAGCCTGGAACTTTTCCATCTTAAATATAAGATTTCATCCAACTAAGGTAATTAATGGAATGAATTTTGGAGCTAGATCTAGAATACGCCCCCCTCCTTCTAGGTAATAGTCACCTGGGTTACTAACAAATATGCCAGTCGTCCTTACTGGTAAATGATCAGATTGCATTAATCACCCTTTAGAAGTTAGGCATGGCCTAATGAAATGTGAACAAAAGTAATGTGTGTCACCTCTGGCCAGAAGTGTTAAAAGTGGTGTAGGATTCACCACGTTTCCTGCATCTTCCTTGATGAAAATGGAATGATGTATCTAGATATTTTCTCCATCAATCCATGTTCCCCACTGACTGCAATGAGCAGAGATCCTATAGTCAACACCACTGGATAAAAAGCATCAAATAGGCTGTTGTCAATGATGCCATTTTAAGTCACTGCAGTCTAACCTAGACTGATCACTATCACTAGGTATGTATTTTAAGTTATGTAACCTCTGTCTCATTTTTTTCATCTCTAAAATGAAAAAATAATATCCATCTCACAAGGCTTTTATCATAGTACTGAGATGATACAAAGCATTGTGCATACTGATAATAAATGATAACATTTTTATATAAAAAAGATCATCATATCTGAGGCAATATGAAAGTATAAGAGTCTGACTGATTTAGAGGAACAAAGAAAATCCTCCACTTAAAAATAATTTAATTTCTAAATGTTTATTTGGGGAAACCATTGCTTTATAAATCTTTTTGCCTATATATGCAGAGTCTATTTTTAAGGGACCATTATCACCAGCTTCAAAGCTTTTTTCACATTTCCTTTTGAAAGTTCAGAAGGTAAAAATTAATAAGTAAAAGAAATCCTGCAATGAAAAAAAAATCACTAAGCACAATCCCCTAAGCCCAGGTAAGTAATACAGCAGATGAATAAAATACACCAAATTTTAGTTTGAAATTTCTTTTATCAATCTACAGGTAAGATTCAGAGGGACAAGAAAGGGTAAAAGGTTTAACTCTTGACTGCCTATGTTGACAACTGTGGCAATTAACAAACATTATGTCACTCAGTTCTCAAAGTACTGTGATGTAAACATACATACACACAAACATACACATTATAGGTAGGAAACAAGCACAAAGATTAAGTGAACTGCTCACTAAAGTGGTAATACTAAGTAATGAAGTTTTAAATCAAACCTACTTTAAAGCCCATGTCAAGCTACTTTTGGGAGCTATGTTTTCAAGTCATGCTACTTCTACATGCTCGAAAACTGCTTTAGAATAAAGGAAGAAGAATCAAAAGACTAACAAAGCTATTCCATACTGAGTTCTTAATTTTGAGGGGTCCTATGGCAACAGAATAAAACCATGAAAATTTATCACTCTTTCCCATCATCTTAAGGTTTTATTAAAATGTCCCTAATTAAAAGTTATTGAGCAAAAATGTATTTCATATGTAGAGTATATGGGAGGATATGTGTAGGACATATGCAAATATCCTTGGGGTCCTGAAACCAATACCCCACAGGTATTTGGGGACAACTGTCAAAACAAGCATATCTAAAGTAGAATTTCTGTGTTTTGACAAAAGTATAACTCCTGAAATACACATTGTAATCAAGATAAAAATCAACTCCATCACCTTAGAAAGTTCCCTCTGGCCCTCACTCAATTCTCACACTCCTGGAGAAGCATGCACTATACAAATTTCTATCTTCTTAGATTAGTATGACTGATTTTAAAGGTTCATATAAATGAAATCATGCAATTTGTGCTTTTGTGAATCTAGCTTTTTATCTTCAATACAGTGTTTTTCTGATTTAACAGCATTGTTCTATTTTTCAGTATTTTATATGATAAAGTTGTGTGTCTGTCTATTCTGCTGTTTAGATATCTGCATTGTCTCCACTCTTATCTATTATACAAACTATGAAAAGTTTTATAAAAATTTGTAATTAAAAGCTATCATTTCTCTTAGTACTGTATCTGTGAATAGAATTGCTGACTTGCAGAGTAGGTATGTGCTTAACTTCACAAGAAATTGCCACATAGCTGTTGATTCCACTGCATACAACTCCCTGCAATGTATGAAAGTTTCTGTTGTTCCATAAATGCCAATATTGGGCATGTTCAACACTTTTTATCTATTGAGTACAGTAAAATGTAATTGTAATACTATTGTTTGAATTTATTTCTCCCTTATAACTTACAATGTAAAGAAAAATTTACATGTTAAAAAATGTATTTCATAGCTTTCCTCTCCAGGTGTTCAGAGCAGACTATAATTTTTTCTGCACCTACATTTAGAACAGACAGGCTAATTTTTTACTGAAATTGATTTTAAGAGCTGGACTTAGAGTTCCTCCACCTAATAAAGTGACTTTTACTATAAACTGGGGGTCAATTTTTGCCATCTGTAATAATAAGCAACTTGAAATCTTTCCTTGTACATCTCTTCTGCTCATGCTGACACCAACCATATTATCAACCCCCACAAAATCACAGGTGATTGTCAAACCTTGTTTTTCTGCTCCTGGCCATATAGTACAATTACTCTTAGAGACCAAAGTAAGCAAAATGAGGGCTCCAGAACCTTGGTTTACTGTGGGATTTTATGTTAAATTTAATCCACAGATAGTAACAAAAACTGAAGAGATCAAAAAAATTATCCACAATCTGTATCTTAAACTTTGGTTGTTCTTAGATATTATATTAAGAACATAAGATATTTTCCAAGTTTCAAGTTGTATGACAAAGTTGTGGTTTTTTTTTTTTTTTTTTTTTTTTTTTTTGCTTTTAAGATATCATATCACAAAGCACATCTAACTTAGCAAGAGTCAAAGTCAGCTTTTGGCTTATATCATCAATGAATGCTTTTAATGACATCAACAGTCAAAGTGGTAAAATGTTGAAAATATGGTATGTTGATGAAGAAGAAACCCTGAAACAATATCAAGAAAGTTGTTCTAAATATATAACATCAATTTTTGATAAAGTTCCTTCTCAATTTTGAAACAACTCATTGTGGATCAGAATCGAGAATATTTGTAAAATAGAATGTGAAACATTCTTGGCTAATGGCTTTGTTGCCATAATGGTAGACTAATTAATACCAGATATTATACCTATAAAACTGGGAAGGGGAACAGCAGCAGCAGCATTTGTAGCAATAATACAACCCCTATCCCTAATCCTAGCCTTGTTTTAACTATATCTACTATTACTATAAATACCATCATTACCAACAAAGAAGTTTCCAGTTAAGATTGCAGTAAAGATCCAATTTCAACTGTGGGAAAAGGAGAAGAAACTTCATAGAAGGCTGTTTCTAGGCTCAAAAGGAGCCTAGAAGGAGAGGGAAAATCAAGTTTTGAGTCTATATTCAAAGAATATTTTACTTTTCTAAAGATATGAACTTTTAACAAGACTTTGGTTTGATATCTGAGCCTAGAATTTTACACTGACAAAAAGGGAAATACAGACATTACACAGAAAGCAACTTTAAAAAGTAGCACTAGGTTACGTCTTTCTGTAAAGATATCTAAAAAAGTGTGTGTTGGCTTTGTTGTTGTTTTTTGTTTGTTTGCTTGCTTGTTTTTTACAAGGATACAAAGTACAAAAAGATGATGTTGAATAAACGAAAGAGAAAAATAAGTGCAGGGGAATATAAAGTGCTATGTTGATGGTTGGGAAGTAGGTAATAAAGTTAAAGAAAAGGCAGAAAAGTCTGAGAACACTCCCTAGTCAAGTGTCCTTGGTGAATTTTTTTTTTCCTCAAAGGAAAATAAAATTGCCTAGATCTCAAACTAAGACTACTTACACATATGCACACCCCCAAAAAAGCCCACTAATGAAAGCCTGCTTCTTTCAAAAGAAGGAAAGTCTCCAACTTTTGACATTTTTTATAGTTTAGGATCGGTTAGAGAAAAAGGCAATTCAGTGCATGCTTCTAGCACTTTTTAACACTCCTTGCTCTTGAGACACTGTTGTTCTCTTTAGGATTAATATCTTGGTAACTAATCCAGTTACTCTGAGCCAAGCTTTTATCCATTATTGAAATTTCCTTCATAGCTGATGTAAATCTTACAGTAGTAACTATAGTGTATAAAGAGGGAGAAAGAGTACCTTAGCATGCCTGTGTCATGGTGTATGGTGGCGGGCAGCGTGTAGCAGGAGGAGTTATAAACATTATCCTCTGACTTTTTTTCTTCAGTTATAATTATCAAGATATTTCAATTATTAAAAACCCTAATAACTTAAGTTTTACTTACATATATTTTTCTTTTACTATAAATGCAAAATTTCTTACATATTCTAAATATTGAGATGTTAATAAGCTCACTGAAACATTACTCTTTGCTGATGATTATTATTTATATGTGCAATTTCAGACTTTAATGGAAATTAAACAGAATGATGATTATAGGTTATATCCTTTTCATATTCTGTAGGTGTTTCTTTTTTTTAAAAAAAGTATCATTTTTAAACTTGAAGCAAGTATAATAAGATAAAGAGGATGTTAGCATATCTCTTCAAGTAAAGGCACCAATGCAAAAAATAATGATGTTGCTACAGAAAGTTATTTTAATTAAAGAAAAAAGTTGAACACAAAAAAATACAAACTACTAAGAAAAAAAGAAATAGAAAATACTAAAGAAAAATCTAGCTAAAAAGCTATTTAATGTTGTGCTACTTAAATGCAAGTTAGCATATTACAAATGTTGTTTGCACAGTTAAGTATGAATATTTAAATAATGCAATCTGGAATACTAACACAGAAAAACACCAGAGGGGGAAAGAGGGTTATAAAAGTACATAAATTCCTATCACAGATACATTCAATTTGTCAAATTGAGCAAATTAAACATCTAAATTTTTAAAATAAAATATAACTGAACTCCTACTTTCAAAAACTATGACTTTTCTCATACCTCCTGTATGTGATTATTTTTCTCCAAGATGGAAAGAGCAACAGCAGCACATTCCAGTGTAGAAAGGCATCTATTGGTTGGCTGCATCCGAATGACATACTGACTGGAAATGTTCGTTTTTAACTGCACCTAAAACCAAAAACAAAATAACAAAATGAAATTTTGGTCTTAAATTTAAAACTATAACGTTTGTGCTTTAAATATTAATTACTTTCCATCTACAATTGCTAGTAGTTTAAGAAATAACTGAATGTATCAATTATTTCATATATAATATTCTTTTCTTCTTTTCACTGTTAAATAGTAGAAGGAAGATGATGGTTACACATTTATCTGACAAAGATGATACATCTAAAATATATACAAAGTCCTACATATCCAAAATACAGACTAATAACTCCCTCTCAGTGGGGAAAAAAGTATACACTTCATGAAGACAGATATAAGAAAGGTACACGAGTATATGAAAAAGAGCTCAAATGATCTAATGTAAATTAAAACCACAGTGGAATAACATTTCACACTCATTAAAAATAGTTAAAATAAAATAAATAAAGATATACAGCAAATTAAACTCTCACAGACTGTAGAATTTAAAATGATATTACTTCACAATTTTTTAAAATCATGCTTTATCCCCATTATTTCTTAGTATAGTATAAAGTGTTATTTAAAGTGTCATAGGTATACCTGTGTAGATGGTGTATAAAGATATACACAAATACACACAAATATATGTAATCCTCTCTTAGGTAAGAAATAGTATGCTATACATACTTTATATATACATTTCTCCATGGATATATTATTTTATCTGAAACCTGAAGATAGAGTCAGACATGAAAAACATCAGCAGAAAACCAATAGTTAACACTTGGGATTTTTGTCTCCTATTTTAAGTAAATAAAATTCAAACAATCTTATAAAGTCACATTCCTAGCCCACATTCTGAACAGAATCACATGTTAGGATATGCAGATAGAAGATAATTTCAATTTTTACTTCTTCAGGTGTTCTCTCTCGTTTTGTTAGTATTCTCAAAGTAGTATGAGATCACTTCAAATCCATGACATCTAATCCTTCAATTCCTTCCCTCTTCTGTGTCTTATGCAGTCCCTCATAATGAGAAATATAATTCTTCTAGTTTGGCTCTTTGTTTAAAACAATTTTTATCTATGGCTTTTATTTTTCAGAAAGGGAACAGGAAAGAGTGGGATACTATGGCTGCAGCTTAAAGGACACTATGAGTATATATTTGATTTTGGAATACATACTTTATAAGCTGACTAATAATATTTGGAGTATGATTATATTAAAATTAATTTATATTTCTCCAAATGGAAAGATGTGAAGGAGATTCAGGGAAAGGAAGGATGAAAATGGTTAAGAAATATATACAGTGATAAAAGAAAGCCTATGATTAAATAACTGCAAGAATATTCACAATGTTGATTAACTGTAATTACTAACAGTTTTAATAATTCATCAAAGATGAACAGAGAATAGCCAACTACTGCTTTCAATACTTAATCCCCAAGTTTTCCTTGGATGAATTTATAATAGACATCCTATTATCACAAAATAATTGGGACACAGGCAAAATTCAGTCAATTTTACTTACTGGAATGAATTTTACTTTTTAAAAGACATTTGGTATTACAGGGAGTAATTTTATTTCCTATTGTAAGAAAATTCAGAATTTGAAATTTCATATGTTAAAAGACTTCAGGGCTGGGGTTGTGGCTCAGCGGTATAGCATTCACCTAGCAGGTGCAAGGCCCTGGGTTCAATCCTCAGCACCACATAAAAATAAAATAAAGGTATTGGGTCGAACTACAACTAAAAGATAAATATTTTAAAAAGTTAAAAAAAAATACTTCAGAATATCCTTCACAAATCATCTTTCCAGGAATTAAAACTAAAAGACCAGATAGCTAATCTGTATCATAGTGATGACATACATGTTATTAGATGATAGCATGCTAAATGTGGTCTCATAGCTTCTCCTTTCATGCTTTTGTGCTATTCCATCTTCATCACATACTCTATTCAATTAGCAAATGAACAAGAGGAGAAAGAAGTGGATAAACTTTTAGGCAAATCCCAGTAGCTCAGTGACAGAGTGCACACCCTGCATTCTATCTCAAGCACTACTTTAAAAGAAACAGGGGTGAGGAGAATTAGCATAGACAAAAGCAGGATATATAGAAAGTGGGCTGGTTGAAAAATCATGATAATTTTATCGAACCTGACAATAACAAATCAATCTCACCCATGTCATTAGTTTCTTAGTTTCCCTTACCTCCTCCTCACCTATAAAATCAGATAGCTAGATGTGATGGTGTCAATTCTGACAGCTGAATTTATCTCGTAGGTATGAATCCTAAGATTTTATAAATACAGACAGAGGTAGATATATTTGCAAGTTTTGAAGTCATGCTGACTCAAAGAATGCCTCAGTAATTTTCTCTTTTTAAAAATATTTATTTATTTATTTATTTGTTGGTTTTCGGCGGACACAACATCTTTGTTTTTATGTGCTGCTGAGGATCGAACCCGGCCACACGCATGCCAGGCGAGCATGCTACCGCTTGAGCCACATCCCCAGGCCCTAATTTTCTATTTTTGAAACCTGGTTCTCTATGATATAAGCTGAATACTCTTAATGAGAAACAGGAAAATCACTGGTTGGTTCAAATTCTATTGGTATAGTTTGTGAGCTTATAATAAAGTTTTCATTTTAGAAACTTAAGCTTCAGACCTTTTCCATTGATTCTCTGAATCAGCTAAAAGTTCAATTTCTAGAAATTCTTTTGTTGTTATAATACCTTCCTTTTTTCTCTTCCATTACATTAGATAAATTTTTGGGAGACTAAGGCAGGAGGATTGCAAGTTCAAAGCTAGCTGCAGCAATTAGGAAGGCCCTAGCCTGTTTTAAAATATAAAATAAAAAGGGCTGAGGAGGTAGCTCACTGGTTCAGCACCTCCAGGTTCAAAAAAAATACCAGATAACAGTATGGATGACTATGATCGCTGTTCAGGTGCCTTTTTAAAAATGGTTTTACAAATTTCTCCTTCCTATTTATACATTTAGCTCTTTTTGTTACAAGTGATTTTTGCCATTAAAAGTTTAAATAACATACATACTCAGTGGTTTAGTAGTGACCTTTAGGACTAAAACAAATATTCAAGGAAATAACAGGTTGTGGAATATGTTTGCATATTATTAAAGATTTTTAAAAATAACTTATTGCTATAAACAATAATTAATTCTTTTGTTGGGCAAAACTAACAAACACCTTAAAATTTAAATTAGAATTTTAATTCAACTCCTGATAATACTGCATTTTAATAATCTGATGGTAATCACTTTTTCTCTATAATCAGGCTATCTTAAGTCAAGTTCATTACTATTCAAAACTATTGTGTGTCTCAATTATTAAGACTTTCTAATCACTTGATCAAATTACTTACAGGTTTCTAGGAAAATCAACCTATTTTCCACGCCGTCTGAAACAATTCTAGACTAGAATAGGCTTAAACAAACTTCTTTTTAGTAACATCCTGAAGTCTTACCATTGAGAGACACATATAAAAACCTCCTTTCTGTAGCAGACTTATTTCTATGATCTTTCCCAGGCTAGATTCATTATCTGAGTTCATGAGCTGCCCCTTGAAAGAGAAGCACTTAACTTTTTCTTCTAGCCCCAAGCCCTCAATTCATTTCACTCTTTTCACTCCCTTGATTTAGTTCAACTATATGACCTAATAGTGGTAAAAGTCCAGCTTTGGCATCAGACAGATGCCAGATCTAAAACAGATTTAGTCATTTATGTATAAGGTTTCATGCAGTTATAAATAATAAATAATAAATTGCTTCATTTAATTCTCATAAAGACCCTATGAAGTAGGTACCTTCATTATCTTCACTTTATAGAAAAGGAAACCAAAGCAGAGAGACATGAAGTAACATGCTCAAGGTTCCAAAATTTGTCATGTCAGAGCAGAAACAGAGGCTTATTCAAGAGCCTGAGTGAAACCACCAGGTTAATATCTTAAGTGGATAAATTTGTAGGCAAATCCCAGTATAGTAAACAAATAAAAACAAAGTTTTTCTATTGGAAAACAAGGCTGGGTACCCTGAAGAATACCCTGTAGAATCTTCTGAACTTAATCATTTTTTTAAAATGATAAGGAGGGAAGGGTCTTTTACACAACTATAAAAGTTACTTGCAAATATCAGTGTCTCTGCCTTGCTCCAGTTCTGACATACCACAAAGCCTGTCTCTGCCTTACTCCAGCTCTGACCTATTATAAAGCCTGCAAAGTTTTTACAAAAAGTAGAAATTCTAGGAATTAACATGGAAACTCAGAAAATATGATAAAAATAAAGTTCAAAGGGACATAAGTTGTAGATAAAATGAAAATATCAGTGCTACTCCTCAAACACATTATCACTTAAATTATTTACTTTTCTAGGCTTGTTTGAAAATCTACAATTCACAACAGTTTATATAAGAAAGCCTGTGTCCAAAATTTTATGTGTATATGTGTATTTGTAGAATATGTTTGATTTAAAATTTAGCCCTTTTCTACAGAATTTTTCATGCTAACACATCAGTAAGAACACTATATGTTACTTTTGATGTTAAAAACACAAATATATAGTTAAAGAGTCTAAACATTAAGCACTTAAAATTCTTCAGTTTCAGCAATCTAAATACTAATACAAAAATAAGACTGTGTTTACTGAGTGACAGCCAAACATCGTGATTACTGGATTTTCCTCTTAAGAATAATATTTTATCTTCACAGTCTTCCACTAAACTCCAATATACCTCGTATCTGAAGACCCTAGGAACTATCAGTATGAGAATATATTCAAAGGAAAAACATCCACATAGATTCGTAAGATCACAGGACTGAATATAATCGTTAGAAATTAAATAATCCGGAGGGGCTCGGGTTTTGGCTCAGTGGTACAGCGCTTACCTAGCATGTGTGAGGCACTAGGTTCAATCTTTACCACCAAATAAAAAATAAATAAATAAGCTAGGCATGGTGGCACATGCCTATAATCAATCCCACAGCTCAGGAAGCTGAGGAAGGAGGATGCAAGTTCAAAGCCA